AAGAACCAAGAATATGAATCCCTGCAGTCACGAAAGTTTTAAATCAAAATATAATACAATTCTCACGACGTTTCGGCCACAACGCAAGCAGCCGTCCTCAGGTGAAGTAACATAACTGTCGGAAAGACAGCGTCCTGTCCTGTCTATCCGACAGTTCTGTTACTTCACCTGAGGACGGCTGCTTGCGTTGTGGCCGAAACGTCGTGAGAATTTTATTGTTTTATTTTTATTTATTTTATTATTTCCCTTCTACGTGACTTTACCGAAAGAACCAAGAAATGAATCCCTGCAGTCACGAAAGCTTTACATCGGAAAATAATGAGTTTATTATAAATTATGGTATTATCATCATTGTCGACTTGTCAATGCCCGTGCCAGGCCAGGTGCACTTTGAGGCTGTCACGTGAAGTGTTGAAGTGCTCGCGACCGACAGGAGATATTGCTGCACATGTGTCTCTGTGTGCGTGTGTGTGCCGATGACTGGTACCAGCGGTATAAAGATCGGCCTCTGTGGAGGAGGCTCGTGAAGGACGCTACTGGGCAGTTGGAGGCAGTCGCCCTCCAGCAACAACGGAGGGCGGAGGAGCGACGCTCACAACAACGAGCGGAGCGCCGGGTGGCTAAAGCGCAGCAAGTTGGCACAGTAGGGGGCACAGGTGGTGCATCAGCCAGTCATCTCGGTCATTTCAGTCGACCCGTGGCACCTGCTGGGTCTGCCCCGTGACCTCCTGCCAGCGGGCGTTCGACACTTCACGTGGCCTCAAGGTGCACGTGGCCTGGCACAAGCGTCGTGGTGACGTCACCGCCACTTAGTGGCGAATGGCGGTTGTTGTTGTGTGTGTGCATCTGTGTGTGCATCTGTGTGTGTGTGTATCTGTCACCACTGCGCCTGTGCCAGGCTACGTGCACGTTTAGGCCACGTGAAGCGTCGAACGCCCGCTGGCAGGCGGCCTCAGGACAGACCCGGCAGGTGCCATGAGTTGACCGAACTCAGATGACCGGCAGATGCACCACCGGCTGTGCCCACCCCCCTACTGTGTCAACCTGCTGCATCTTATCGACTACCACCACCACCAAGCACACCCTTTGCGTGTGCGGTGTTTGTTTGATCTTTGTCTGTTCTTGCCTCCTCCTCCAATGCAAGGCCGTAGCTATGGAGTCAACGGGGACTAAACCTTCCAGGGTGTCTGGGGGTCCCAACCCAGAAAAATATCTAAATTTGAAAACTCATTTCCTGCCGAAAATATTTAAATATTCGCTAACACATGGGATGGACTTTTTTTTTTTTACAATTTTGTCGAATAGTGTATTGTATTACATTGCTGTTTTTACTTTTTTTTTACTTGTTTCATTGTATGTAATGCCAGAGATTGGGGAATTAATTAAGTACAACCATAACCACAATCATATAAACCAGGAGTCGGGAACCTTTTTGACTGGGAGAGCCATAAAAGCCAAATATTTCTAAATATATTTCATTAAGAGCCATATAGTATTTTTAACGTATAATAAATGAAATATGTCTTACTTTTAATGCGACTTCTGGTGCTGCATGGTTTTGCTGATGGCCTTGTAGTCTGGTTCGTACGACGTGGTGAGGTTGAGCTTCATGCAGGCGTGACCCGTGAAATTTATCTTCAAAACTAATTTCTGTTTACTTTAAAATGACACAGTATTATTAAGCAATATCACAAGTATTTTAAAATCAGTTCCAAACTGATTTTTTTTTCAACTCAAAATTGTCTGGGAGCCATATGCCGTCACTGGAAGAGCCATATATGGCTCGCGAGCCATAGGTTCCCGACCGCTGATATAAACAGAAATCTACGCCTTGATTTACATGAAGACAAGTCCAGATATTGTGGCCAAGGTTTATCAAATTGTTGCTTTAATTTACATAGCATAGCAATTCATTTTTTTATAGCGAAATATTGGGGAGGGACATTTTGAGCATATTTGAATATCGGTGAAATCACAGAGCGGTTGGGCACAGAGAGAACGAGGCAGAGTGAACCAACGTGATCCAACATACGGAGCAAGCCCATATCTCTCCCCTATCCCCTCTCTTCTCTACCCACTCCCGTTCCCTCTCTTAACCCCGTGTAACCTCTGACCCTCCGCTCCTCCCCCATTCGCCCTTTTCTCTCTCCTCCAATAAACATTAAATCATGTTTTGTTATTATGGGGGGGGTGAGGGTTTGTGTGTGTGTAGATCTGCGCTACGAACCCGAGTTCAATTCCCGCTCACAGATAAGCGTCACCAACACCGGCGACGATTATCTGAAGCGGTCCCGGGCCTCCCCTAGGTCGACTCAGCCTCAAATGAGTACCTGGTGCCGTGCGTAGTAAACATCGCCACTGGGGAGACAAAGGCGGCCGGGCGTGGTGCTGGCCACCCACCCCCCTCGTGTGCCGTGCCAGCCTCCATAGGTGCTCGCTAACAGCACTTGCCCCAAACAGTCTCGTAAGGCTATACGGGGGATCTTTGTCTTTATATACTATATATTAAGTGTGTGTATATACTATGTATATGTGTGTGTATATATACTATATAATATGTAAACTCAAGTCTTGCAACAACAACAAAATAAATTAATGTCAAGGCACATCAATAGATCACACGGAAGATGCTTCCATGAAAATGCGTTCCTCCGTGAACGTCCCCTTCCCTCCATCCGGGTCTCACTTCCCTCGTTTCACACCCCCCCCCGCCCCCCCCCCACCCCCCCAGGGGGGTCTTAGGCGGGCAAAATGGCGGCTTCCGGAAGGGACGAGCTCAATGCAATGCGAGACGTGCAATGCGATGCAGTTCGACGCACTGCCATCATCATCGCCATCATCATCATCGTCATCATCGTCTTCATCATTGTCTTCATCATCGTCGTAAATCATCACCGTCATCATCATCGCCATCATCATCATTGTCTTCATCATCATCGTCATCATCACCGTCATCATCATCGCCATCATCATCATTGTCTTCATCATCATCGTCATCATCACCGCCGTCATCATCGCCATCATCATCATCGTCATCATCATCATCGTCGTCATCATCATCGTCGTCATCATCATCATCATCGTCGTCATCATCATCGCTATCATCATCATCGCCGCCGCCGCCGTCATCATCGCCGTCATCATCGTCTTCATCATCATCGCCTTCATCATCATCATCGTCATCATCATCACCACCGTCATCATCGTCATCATCATCACCACCACCGTCATCATCGCCGTCATCATTGTCATCATCATCATCATCATCGCCATCATCATCACCGCCGTCATCATCATCATTGTCATCATCGCCATCATCATCATCATCTGTATCGTCATCATCGCCGTCATCATCATCATCGTCATTATCACCGTCATCATCATCACCGTCATCATCATCGCCGTCAACATCATCTGTATCGTCATCATCGCCGTCATCATCATCATCGTCATTATCACCGGTCATCATCATCTGTATCGTCATTATCACCGTCATCATCATCACCGTCATCATCATCGCCGTCATCATCGCCGTCATCATCATCATCATCGCCATCATCATCACCGCCGTCATCATCATCATCGTCATCATCATCGTCGTCATCATCATCATCATCGTCATCATCGTCGTCATCATCATCATCGTCATCATCATCGCCGCCGTCATCGTAGCAGCAGCAGGAGCAGCGGCAGCGGCTTTCTGGGCCAACCATCGCACAAATATGGCGTGCCACAGCATCAGATGCACTTCCGCGGCCGTCTGGAATGCTCCTCCCTTCAGACGGCGCGTTCGTGTGCACGTTGAACTTCTTTCACACCGTACGTAGCCAACTAATCGAAGGTGCGAAATGACGGTGAAGATCGGCAGCAGCAGCAGCAGCTGCAGCCGCAGCGATGGGCGTTCCGGTTTCCTCCCACACGTGCAAACACTCGTCGCTCATTGGCCGATAACACTTTAACACGTATATAGAGATCATTGATAATTGTTTTTTTACCCTTCTATCTGGCAACAAAACTGACACCTTTTTTATACAAGGAGTCATGTTTGCATAGACCGCAATACCTGCAGTCGGAATGCAAACCAAAAACACAACTCTGATAATGTGCACTGTCCTTGAAGTTGATTGGTCCACACCCGAGACAGCTTTCCTTAGAGCCTAGTCTCACATGGTGTTGGACCAGATGACGCCAAAAGGCGCATGACGTATATTGAAAATCGCAGAGCTTGGGCAATGGCTGGTGCCGGTTCACCACATGGCTGCTGCTGATGCTGCTGCTGCTGATATCTCGACTGTGGTTTCTCCTCTCAGTAGTCACCCCTCTCTCTCGTCACCCCTTCTATCTCTGCCTCTCTCTACGAGAGCGAGCGAGGAGCAGATACCGTGTGATGGCGACGCTTGCCTGACAAGTTGACGTCGTTATTGACACATTCATATTTGCGCGCTCTAACCCCCCAAAAACAACCTCCACTATGGATGAACTTGACGGCAACGAAGATGATGACGGCCATGATTACGATGACAACAATAGCGATGATGGCGATAATGATGATGATGATAACAAAGGGCTGAGTGCACCCTGACCGGGATTTGAATTCGAGTGACCCGCAGCTCAGCCGAGCTCACCGCAGGTCAATGAGGGCGAAAGCTACGACGAACCCACGGCACATCGTGGGAAGGAAATCGCGGTGGCACAGCCGCGGCCATTTTCCTCCAGGTGGCGGAGCAGCGAATGGCAACCGGTGACGAGTCGGAGACGGTGATATAAAAAGGAGGGGCCGAGTCTCTCTCCAACTCCGCTCGCCATCCCGCACCGTCGGGGCCCCAACACCGCCACCCTACTGTGCCAACTTGCTGTGCTTTAGCCACCCGGTGCTCCGCTCGTTGTTGTGAGCGTCGCTCCTCCGCCCTCCGTTGTTGCTGGAGGGCGACTGCCTCCAACTGCCCAGTAGCAGCAGCATCCTTCACGAGCCTCCTCCCACACTTCTCCCCACCCCTCCTTTATCCCTCTCCTGTCGCCCCCCCTCCCATCCCCGCCCACCTACCCCAACACGTCACGTGGTCATCACACTGTGAGGTCATCGGCCCTCGCTCTCCGGCTGCTGCTGCTGCTGCCGTTGTTTCCACCCCCTGGGCGGCACGTGCGGGCTGAGCGCCTCTGCTGCGACACTGACTGCGACTGCTGCTGGTGCTGCTGCTGCTGTTGCTGCTGTTGCTGCTGCTGGTGGTGGTGGTAATACAACTGTGGCGCCCGTTGCGAGAATCGAGCCATCGGCTGTGCTTGAGGCCTTCCGTAGCCACGGGCCTGCAGCTGCGGTGAAGCCTGCAGCGGCTGCTGCTGCTGCAGCTGCTGCCACTGCAGCTGCTGCGGTTGCTGCAGCCACTGCAGCTGCTGCTCCTGCTCCTGCTGCTGAGTATTCACTATGATCTGTCCCGCAGGATCGTGCACGAGGCCTAGGCCGAAGGCTTCCGCGCTCCCTGACCCTGCGTTGGACTGAGCGGCCAGCGCGTGTCCCTGAACGCCGGGCCGTGCGATGGCGTATCGGTCGGGCGCGGCCGACGGTGGCAGCGATGCCATCGCGACCGGAGCGAGAGGAGGAGGAGGAAGAGGCGGCAGAGGCGGCAGAGGCTGCGGGGAGTTGAAGGCGACGCGCGGGAAGCCAAGCGCGCCCTGCGGCGAGCTCGAGTTGAGCACGGCCTGCGTGAAGTGGGCGACGGGACGCACAAAGCCGCCGCCGCCGCCGCCGCCACCCACTACCGACGCCGCCGCCTCCTGCGCGTTGGCGGCCTGCGGTGGGCCGGCCGGGCCCGGCGCTCCGTAGTCCTGCACTTTGGCGGCTTCGCGGACGAGCCGCGACTCCATGGCCGCCTGGGGCTGCGGGCCGCCCTGGGTTCACCACGGCCTGAGTGAAGTGCGCCACGGACTGCAGGCAGTTGAGCGTCGACTCCGAAGGCCCGATGATCGTGTGGGGTGACGGGTCGGAGTGAAAGATGGCATGCCGCTGCAGCTGCTGCTGCTGCAGCTGCTGCTGTTGCAGCTGCTGCTGCTCGTGCTGCTGCAGCTGCTGCAGCTGCTGCTGGTGCGAAGCAGCCGAGGCGGCAAAGGCACCAGGCATCGGAGCCCCGAAGCTCTGCTCGACCCGGACGGCCGTCACGGGGGCCACCGCGACATCCCCCACGGGGTGCGCGGTCGGAGACGGTGCCGTGCTCTCGGAGACGGCGCCCGGCCGCGGTCCCGGCGTCATCTGCGGCGGTCCCTTCGCCGGCAACGGCCCGGCCGTGGCCACGCCGTCACGGCCGTCGACGCCGGAGCCTTTCCCGTCTTTGGCGCCGACTCCGCCCGCCGCCCCGGAGGCCGGCACGAGCTTGATCCCCGAGGGGATCACGAAGTCGCCGCGGACGGCGCGTGCGGCGCACGAGCGACAGCCGGCGGTGGCGTAATGGGGGCAGCTCAGGTAGGAGGCGGCGGCGGCGTCTTCGGGGCCGCCCCTCGGCGAGGACGAGGCCCAGTTGGAGGTCGCCGTGGAAGCTTCCAGCAGCTCGGCGCCCAACGCCTCCTCTGTGGAGACGCCGCGGCGCAGCTGCCGGGACGGGGAGGGGTGGCAATAGCGTAGGATATAGTGTAGTGTATAGTGTAGTGTATAGTGTAGTGTATAGTGTAGTGTATAGTGTAGTGTATAGTGTAGTGTATAGTGTATAGTGTAGTGTATAGTGTAGTGTATAGTGTATAGTGTAGTGTATAGTGTAGTGTGTAGTTAGTGTATAGTGTAGTGTATAGTGTAGTGTGTAGTGTATAGTGTAGTGTATAGTGTAGTGTATAGTGTAGTGTATAGTGTGTAGTGTAGTGTATAGTGTAGTGTATAGTCTAGTGTAGTGTATAGTGTATAGTGTATAGTGTAGTGTATAGTGTAGTGTATAGTGTAGTGTATAGTGTAGTGTAGTGTATAGTGTAGTGTATAGTGTAGTGTATAGTGTAGTGTATAGTGTAGTGTATAGGTAGTGTATAGTGTAGTGTATAGTGTAGTGTATAGTGTAATGTATAGTGTAGTGTAGTGTATAGTGTAGTGTATAGTGTAGTGTATAGTGTAGTGTATAGTGTGTAGTGTGTAGTGTATAGTGTAGTGTATAGTGTAGTGTATAGTGTAGTGTATAGTGTGTAGTGTAGTGTATAGTGTAGTGTATAGTCTAGTGTAGTGTATAGTGTAGTGTATAGTGTAGTGTATAGTGTAGTGTTAAGTGTATAGTATAGTGTAGTGTATAGTGTAGTGTATAGTGTAGTGTATAGTGTAGTGTATAGTGTATAGTGTAGTGTATAGTGTAGTGTATAGTGTAGTGCAGTGTTCACTATTAGGCCACCAGTGGCCTGCAATGAAGAACATGCCAGTGCACTGACCACCACCACCACCCACCACCACCACCCACCACCACCACCCACCACCACCACCCACCACCACCATCCACCACCACCACCCACCACCACCCACCACCCACCACCACCCCCCACCACCTCCGCACCTTCTTCCAGCCGAGGTGGTAGAGCTCAGCGAGGTTGAGGAGGAGCGAGAGGCAGGCCACTGCGAGCATGAAGACGATGAAGATGGTCTTCTCCGTGGGACGCGAGATGAAGCAATCGACGACGTTGGGGCACGGCCACCGTGCGCACCTGCGGCACAGAGACGGTGACGAAGATGGCGACGACGACGATGTATCTATATGAGTCTCTAAGTATCTCTATGAGTCTCTATGAGTCTCTGTGTATCTATGTTTCACTATGTGTCTCTATGTATCTCTATGAGTCTCTAAGTATCTCTATGAGTCTCTATGTGTCTCTGTGTCTCTATGTTTCACTATGAGTCTATATGTGTCTCTATGAGTCTATATGTGTCTCTATGTATCTCTATGTATCTCTATGAGTCTCTATGTATCTCTATGTATCTCTATGAGTCTCTATGTATCACTATGAGTCTACATGTGTATCTATGTATATCTGTATATCTCTGTGATCTCTACGTGTTTCTACGGCTCCTCTCCTACCTGTAGAGTGTCTCCAGGCCGAAGCCGTACAGGTAGTACTGGCCCACGATGAAGGCCACCTCAATGGCCGTCTTGAAGAGCACGTGGAACACGTAGGTCCGCAACAGCGCCCCCTCCATGCGCACGTGCACCTGGCGGGCGACACGGCATGGACGACGACGCTGCCACGCTCACCCAGCGACCGGATGACTCCCGACCGCTCTCCACGTATAGTGGGTGGCTGGGAGATGTTGACAACCTCGCCTGGTACGCAGGAGGTCGTGGGTTCGATCCCCGACACTGACGATGCCTGCTGCTGTAGATTTGGAATCTTTGTCTCTCTCTCATCATAATCACGGTGGCTAGGAGATTTTGACTACCTCGCCTGGTACGCAGGAGGTTGTGGGTTCGATCCTGAACCTGACGATGCCTGCTGCTGTAGATTTGAGTTTGCGTCTCTCTCTCATCATCATCGCGGTGGCTATGATATGTTAACTACCTCGCCCGGTTACACAGGAGGTCGTGGCTTCGATCCCCGACCCTGACGATGCCTGCTGCTGTAGATTTGAGTTTGCGTCTCTCTCTCTCTCTCATCATCATCACGGTGGCTATGAGATGTCAACTACCTCGCCTGGTATACAGGAGGTCGTGGGCTCGATCCCCAACCCTGACGATGCCTGCTGCTGTTTATTTGAGTTTGCGTCTCTCTCTCATCATCATCACGGTGGCTATGAGATGTTAACTACCTCGCCTGGTGTACAGAAGGTCATGGGTTCGATCCCGACCCTGACGATGCCTGCTGCTGCCGTATATTTGGAGTCTTTGTCTCTCTCTCATCATCATCACAGTGGCGAGGAGATGTTAACTACCTCACCTGGTGTACAGAAGGTCGTGGGTTCGATCACGACACTGACGATGCCTGCTGCTGTAGATTTGTAGTATCTTGTGTATAGTGTCGTATGCAGCGTATAGTGTCGTGTATAGTGTATAATGTAGTGTATAGTGTGGTATGTAGTGTATAGTGTGTATTGCAGTGTAGTGTATAGTGTATAATGTAGTGTATAGTATAGTGTATAGCGTAGTGTATGGTGTAGTGTGTATTGTAGTGTAGTCTATAGTGTAGTATGCAGTGTGTAGTGTAGTGTATAGTGTAGTATGTAGTGTATAGCATAGTGAACATTGTAGTATGTATTGCAGTGTAGTGTGTAGTGTATAGTGTAGTATGTAGTGTGTAGTATGTAGCGTGCAAGTGTGTAGTGTATAATGTAGTGTATAGTATAGTGTATAGCGTAGTGTATAGTGTAGTGTGTATTGTAGTGTAGTGTATAGTGTCGTATGTAATGTATAGTGTGTAGCATATAGTGTAGTGTACAGTGTAGTATGCATTGCAGTGTAGTGTGTAGTGTAGTGTATAGTGTAGTATGTAGCGTGTAGTATGTAGCGTGTAAGTGTGTAGTGTATAATGTAGTGTATAGTATAGTGTATAGCGTAGTGTATAGTGTAGTGTGTATTGTAGTGTAGTCTATAGTGTAGTATGTAGTGTATAGCATAGTGAACATTGTAGTATGTATTGCAGTGTAGTGTGTAGTGTAGTGTATAGTGTAGTATGTAGTGTGTAGTGTTTCCCCCAGTCTACGTTTGTCAAACTTCTTTTGCAACCGGAGGTGCGTCGGGGGGTGTAGTACGAAAACAAAATGGCGTCCAACGGCGGCCGCGTCACGGCCAACGACTGCGCGATGGATTTGCAAGTAAAAGGGATTCTAAAGCCAGACCTCTATGCGCACCTCGATCGGCGGTGACGTCGCTTCCTGTGGCTGCTGCGACGTCATTTCCTGTTGCTGGGGCTGCTGGGGCTGCTGGGGCTGTGACGTCACAATGGAGCCGCGCTTCTCCTCGACGCGCAGCAGGTGGAGCACGTGGCCCAGGAAGATGAGGGTGGGCGTCGACACGAAGATGATCTGAGGCCACGCGGCACGGGCGACAACGACAAAGTGTTCCCTCAGCCCCGTCGTGTAGCCTTTAGTGGAATGTTGGGGCAAGTGCTGTTAGCGAGTAGCAGCACCTATGGACATGCAAAGAATCCCCGTATAGCCTTAACGCACTGTTGGGGCAAGTGCTGTTAGCATAGAGACTTATATGTTTATGGGTCTCTGTGCATCGCTACGGGTCTCTATGTGTTTCTATGTATCTCTATAAGTCTCTGTCTGTCTCTATGAATCTCTCTGCACCTCCATGTATCTCTACGAGTCTCCATGAGTCTCTGTGAGTCTCTGTGCATCTCTATGTGTCTACGTATCTCTGTGATTCTCTCTGTATCTCAATGTTTCCCTATTTATCGCCATGAATCTCTCTGCGACTCCACGTATCTCTTTGAGTCTCTGTCTATCTCTATGAGTCTCTATGTATCTCTATGAGTCTCTATGTATCTCTATGAGTCTCTATGAGTCTCTATGAGTCTCTATGAGTCTCTATCTGTCTCTATGAGTCTCTATGAGTCTCTATGAGTCTCTACACGTCTCTACGCGTCTCACCTGGAGCACCCAGAAGCGCACGTGCGAGATGGGGAAGGCCTGGTCGTAGCAGACGTTATCGCAGCCCGGCCCTTCGTATCTGTACGAAACCCTGTCTGTCTCTATGAGTCTCTATGCATCTCTGTCTAATAGTCGCTATGAGTCTCTACGAGTCTCTATGTTTCTCTCTCTATAAGCCTCTATGTATCTCTATATGAGTCTCTATGAGTCTCTATGAGTCTTTATGAGTCTCTATAAGTCTCTATGAGTCTCTATGAGTCTCTATGTATCTCTATGAGTCTACATGAGTCTCTATGAGTCTCTATGTATCCCTTTCTGTCTCTATGAGTCTCTATGAGTCTCTACGAGACCTTGTCTGTCTCTATGAGTCTCTATCTATCTCCACGCGTCCCACCTGGAGCACCCAGAAGCGCACATGCGAGATGGGGAACGCCTGGTCGTAGCAGACATTCTCGCAGCCCGGCTGCTTGGTGTTGCACTTGAAGTCCGACTGCTCGTCGCCCCACACCTCCTCGGCTGCCGTTCCCAGCACGAGGATGCGGAAGATGAAAAGCACCGTGAGCCACACCTGGGGGGATGGGTGGGGAGAGACATCACCCCCACCACCTCCATCGTTGTCCGCTGTGTTGTGGGTCAAGCGTCTGCCTCTTGACCTCGCTGCTGCTGCTGCTTGAGCCTCGCTAACCACGACCCCGCTTGGGTCCTTCGACCTGTTGTGGAAATCCCGGTGTCACAGGCTAAAATTACCACCTACCCACGATTAAACCCGGGTATAGTTTGGCCCAGGCCAGAGTTATACCCGGGGGGATAAAGTGTCCTGGGCTAAACTATACCCCCGGGGGTTTAAACTCGATTGGGCCAGACCATATCCCTCCTAGCCAGAATATGCCACGTGTGAAAGTTCAAACGAACTTCAGTCGATATCTAAAAAGCGTATAAATGGAAGTAAGAATCTCAATTTGATCAATTGAAGCATTTTTAGGGTTAGGGTTTGGGATAGGGATAGAGTTAAGGTTAGGGTTAGGGTGAGGGATAAGGTTAAGGTTAGGGTGAGGAATAGAGATAGGGTTAGGGATAGGGTTATGGATAGGGTTAGGGATAGGGATAGGGTTAGGGATGGGGTGAGGGATAGGGATAGGGTGAGGGATAGGGATAGGGTTAGCGTTAGGGTTATTATTAAAGTTTTTCTGGTTGAAGCAATCAAAGTCTATGTGTTTACAGTTTCAAAGACAAATGTTAGAAACATTTAGTAATTCACGTGTATATCGCTCAACACTATGACTATCATGGGGGTCTGATTTGGCCTAGAGGGGTATAATCTCGCCTAGGCCGTTTAAACCACGGGTATACTCCGGCCTGGGGGTATACTCCAGCCTCGGGGTATACTCCGGCCTGGGGGTATACTCCGGCCTGGGGGTATACTACGGCCTGGGGGTATACTACAGCCTGGGGGTATACTACAGCCTGGGGGTATACTCCGGCCTGGGGGTATACTCCGGCCTGGGGGTATACTCCGGCCTGGGGGTATACTCCGGCCTGGGGGTATACTACAGCCTGGGGGTATACTACAGCCTGGGGGTATACTACAGCCTGGGGGTATACTCCGGCCTGGGGGTATACTCCGGCCTGGGGGTATACTCCGGCCTGGGGGTATACTACGGCCTGGGGGTATACTACAGCCTGGGGGTATACTCCGGCCTGGGGGTATACTACAGCCTGGGGGTATACTCCGGCCTGGGGGTATACTACGGCCTGGGGGTATACTACAGCCTGGGGGTATACTCCGGCCTGGGGGTATACTACGGCCTGGGGGTATACTCCGGCCTGGGGGTATACTCCGGCCTGGGGGTATACTACAGCCTGGGGGTATACTCCGGCCTGGGGGTATACTACGGCCTGGGGGTATACTCCGGCCTGGGGGTATACTACGGCCTGGGGGTATACTACAGCCTGGGGGTATACTCCGGCCTGGGGGTATACTCCGGCCTGGGGGTATACTCCGGCCTGGGGGTATACTACAGCCTGGGGGTATACTACAGCCTGGGGGTATACTACGGCCTGGGGGTATACTACGGCAAGGGAGTATACTCCGGCCTTAGGGTATACTACGGCCTGGGGGTATTTTACGGCCTGGGGGTATACTCCGGCCTGGGGGTATACTACAGCCTGGGGGTATACTCCGGCCTGGGGGTATACTACAGCCTGGGGGTATACTCCGGCCTGGGGGTATACTACAGCCTGGGGGTATACTCCGGCCTGGGGGTATACTACAGCCTGGGGGTATACTACGGCCTGGGGGTATACTCCGGCCTGGGGGTATACTACAGCCTGGGGGTATACTCCGGCCTGGGGGTATACTACAGCCTGGGGGTATACTCCGGCCTGGGGGTATACTACAGCCTGGGGGTATACTCCGGCCTGGGGGTATACTACAGCCTGGGGGTATACTACGGCCTGGGGGTATACTACAGCCTGGGGGTATACTACGGCCTGGGGGTATACTACAGCCTGGGGGTATACTCCGGCCTGGGGGTATACTACAGCCTGGGGGTATACTACGGCCTGGGGGTATACTACAGCCTGGGGGTATACTCCGGCCTGGGGGTATACTCCGGCCTGGGGGTATACTACGGCCTGGGGGTATACTACGGCAAGGGGGTATACTACAGCCTGGGGGTATACTCCGGCCTGGGGGTATACTACGGCCTGGGGGTATACTACGGCCTGGGGGTATACTACGGCAAGGGGGTATACTACAGCCTGGGGGTATACTCCGGCCTGGGGGTATACTACGGCCTGGGGGTATACTACGGCCTGGGGGTATACTACAGCCTGGGGGTATACTACGGCCTGGGGGTATACTACGGCCTGGGGGTATACTACAGCCTGGGGGTATACTACAGCCTGGGGGTATACTACAGCCTGGGGGTATACTACGGCCTGTTACACCGGCATTTCCTTTTGTCCGCGTGTTCGCTGTCAACCAAACGATGGGGTTGTTGTTGTGCGGGATTGTTGTTGTGCTGAGTTGTTGTTGTGCAGGGTTGTTGTTGTGCGGAGTTGTTGTTGTGCAGGGTTGTTGTTGTGTGGGGTTGTTGTTGTGTGGGGTTGTTGTTGTGCAAGATTGTTGTTGTGCGGGGTTGCTGCTGTGTGGGGTTGTTGTTGTTGTTCATGGTTGTTGTGCCGGGCTGTTGTTGTGTGGGGGTTGTTGTTGTGCGGGGTTGTTGTTGTTCAGGGTTGTTGTGCCGGGCTGTTGTTATGTGGGGGTTGTTGTTGTGCAGGATTGTTGTTGTGCGGGGTTGTTGTTTAGGGTTGTTGTGCAGGATTGTTGTGCCGGGTTGTTGTTGTGTGAGATTGTTGTTGTGCGGGGTTGTTGTTGTGCGGGATTGTTGTTGTGCGGGATTGTTGCTGTGCGGGATTGTTGTTGTGCGGGGTTGTTGTTGTGCGGGATTGTTGTTGTGCGGGATTGTTGTTGTGCGGGTTGCTGCTGTGTGGAATTGTTGTTGTTGTTCATGGTTGTTGTGCCGGGCTGTTGTTGTTGTTGTTCAGGGTTGTTGTGCCGGGTTGTTGTTGTTGTTGTTCATGGTTGTTGTGCCGGGCTGTTGTTGTTGTTCAGGGTGAAGCGGCATCAGCTACCTTCCCCACCACCGTCGAGTGTTCCTGAGCATTCTCCAGGAGCTTGCCCAGCAGACTCCAGTCGCCCATCGTCCAGCACAACAACGCCGCGTTGCTGCCTCCACCCGGGGACAAGCGACACGCGGTCAGTCAACACCACGGACGTACGATCGCAAAACGAGATGTGTGTCTGTACCAGAGGTCGCAACCGGGTACCCAATAACCGTACCCTACCCGATACCCGGGTACCCGTACCCGTACCCGGTCGGGTACGGGTACGGGTAGCCGTTTGCGACCCTGGTGCGGCCGGGTACGGGTACGGGTAGGCCGTGAGTCACTGGTGAGTAGCCGTTTATCACTCATTTCGGGTAGGGTACGGGTACGGGTAGGCCGTGAGTCACTGGTGAGTAGCCGTTTGTCACTCATTTCGGGTAGGGTACGGGTAGGGAATGGGTACCCGTACCCGGCCGGGTACGGGTCACCGTTTGCGACCCTGGTGCGGCCGGGTACGGGTAAGGAATCAAAACCCGTTTGCGACCTCTGGTCTGTACGTGTGTAGTGTCTGCGTGTGTGTATGTGTGCAGTCCGGCAAAAAGCAAGCCCCTACCTCCCCGTGGTGCTGGATGGGCAACGTTGTCGTGGACAGTGCTGTGGGGGGGGAGGGCCAATTCCGATTGGCCTTTCCTCTCAGGGCGTTTGTAACCATCACAGCGGTAAAATGGGGGTTTTGGACGGGTGCGAGGGGCTGGTAACCCCTCCACCTTCAATAAATTACCACTAAACCACGTGAAAAATATCTAATTAATAAGCTTGTGCCGGAGGCTTTGGGGGGACAGGCGTCTAGGACGTCTCCTGGCCAAACCCCATCTGGCAGAGCCAGGAGATTGAATCTTTACCCTCGGGGCTCCTCCAGAAACAACAAAAAGCCACTACGTGTGGCCACGTGGAATGTTCGAATGCTCACTACAGAGGAGAGGCTGCCACTCCTCTGACGGGAGCTGTAACGGTGCTTCCTGGATCTCAGGTATTCAGGTGATCTGATGGACCGGCTCTGGCTCCTGCCACCATGAGGGGAGGACAGTCCTCTACTCGGGGCAGGAGACTGCTGGGAAAGGACCTGGCAAGGATTATTCAACATCGCCTTGCTACGCACGCTGAGGAGAAGCTTGCGGAGCCCCAATGCGGTTTCAGGAAAGGGCGGTCCTGCACAGATGCCATATTTTCTGTCCGTCTGTTACAGCAGAGGTGTAGGGATTTCCAACAAGAGCTACATCTCTGCTTTATTGACCTGGTCAAGGCCTATGATACCATCAGTAGGCCTGGTCTCTGGGGTGTTCTTCGTGCTTTCGGAGTCCCTCACCCTCTGCTCACGATCATTAAGGACCTTCATGATGGTGAGCGGGCCCGGGTAAAACTACGTGGCCGGGAGTCAGAGCCATTCCCTGTACACCTTGGGGTGCGACAGGGATGTCCTCTGGCTCCCACATTATTTAACATCTATTTTGACCGCGTAGTTCGTGAAGCCTTCAATAGCTGTACCGAGGGAATTTCTATTTGGTACAAATATAGTGGGAGGCTGATCGATGCCCGGGTGCGATCAAGGGATGGCTCCCTATTGGTCAACCACGTTATGTATGCCGATGATTTGGTAATAGCTGCTCATTCAGAGGAAGAGTTGGAGACGCTGCTGCTGAGACTGGAGCGTGCCACTAAGAGGTGGGGCCTTACCATCAGCCCCACCAAAACTAAGCACCTGCCTGGGTATTTTGTACCATCGGACACTCCACCCACACAACTCCCAATCGGTGATGGGGCAATTGTGGAGAGAGTGGAGAGTTCCCATATCTGGGCAGTGTGCTTATGACCGGCTCCAGTTTAACAGCAGAGGTCTCACTCCGAATCAGTCGAGCGAAAATATATTTTCATCGGTTGCGTAACGCTGGGTGGAAGCTACCTGGTCTGTCGTTCCACACGAAGCTTCAGGTCTTCTCGGCCACAGTCATTTCCTCCCTTCTCTACGCTTGCGAAACGTGGACCTCTCTAATGGAGCATCTTCGTCGGTTAGATACATTTAGGCTGGCCTGCCTACGATCCATCCTGGGTTTAACCAGGCTGGATTGTGTGAGGAGCTCACAAATCCTTGAAAGATCTGGGCAAAGTCCAATCGGTGAGCTCCTCCGGCAGGCAAGGCTGCGTTGGCTGGGTCATGTAGCCCGCATGCCCAACCACTGCATGCCTAAACAGCTATTGTTCGGCTGGATCGAGGGGGCTAAACGGGCGCGGCACGAGCTAGAGAAGAGATGAAGTGATGTGGTACAGGAGGACGTGGAGCTGAGTGGACTTGCCGATGACCGGTACCAGCGGTGTCAAGATCGGCCTCTGTGGAGGAGGCTCGTGAAGGACGCTACGGGGCAGTTGGAGGCAGTCGCCCTCCAACAACAATGGCGGGCGGAGGAGCGACGCTCACAATAACGAGCGGAGCACTGGGTGGCTAAAGCACAGCAAGTTGGCACAGTAGGGGGCACAGGTGGTGCATCAGCCAGTCATCTCGGTCATCTCGGTCAGTCGACCAGTGGCACCTGGGTCTGCCCCGTGACCTCCTGCCAGCGGGCTTTCGACACTTCACGTGGCCTCAAGGTGCACTTGGCCTGGCACAAGCATCGTGGTGACGTCACCGCCACTTAGTGGCGAATGGCGGTTGTTGTTGTTGTTGTTGTCTGTGAGTGTGTGTGTGTCTGTGTATGTGTCTGTGTGTCTGTGTGTGTCTGTGCGTGTGTGTGTCTGTGTGTGTCGCTGTGTGTATGTCTGTGTGTGTGTGTCTATGTGTGTCTGTGTGTCTGTGTGTGTGAGTGTCTGTGTGTGTCTCTGTGTGTGTGTCTGTGTGTGTGTGTCTATGTGTGTAAATGTCCATGTGTGGGCCTGGTGCTGGCCACCCACCCGCTTCGCGCGCCGTGCCGGTCGCCTTCACAGGCGCTGCTGCTGCTACTCGCTAACAGCACTTGCCCCGACAATCCGCCACAGGCTACACGGGGGATCTTTGTCTGTGTGTCCGTACGTACACCGCACGTGTGCGTGTGTCTGTCTGCCTGCACCACCACCACCCCCCGTGTGATTTTGCAAACCTCGCCAATGACCCCATTGTCCTCAGCGCTCGTTGGGGATTTGGGGCACAAAGCGTGGCGCGTCCCATCGGCCCTGCTCACTCAGCTCTTCCTCGCTGCGCGGTGGCACTGCCACCCACCCACGTGTCACCATCAGTGGCAATGCCACCCAGCCACCAATTAGTGGCAATGCCACTCAGCCACGTGCCACAATCAGAGGCAATGCCACCATCAGTGGCAATGCCACCCAGCCATGCCCCACCATCAGTGGCAATGCCACCCACCATCAGTGGCAATGCCACCCAGCCACGTGTCACCATCAGTGGCATTGCCACCTAGCCACGTGTCACAATCAGTGGCAATGCCACCCAGCCACGCGCCACAATCAGTGGCAATGCCACCCACCCACGTGTCACCATCAGTGGCAATGCCACCCAGCCACGTGTCACCATCAGTGGCAATGCCACCCAGCCACGCGCCACAATCAGTGGCAATGTCACCCAGTCACGTGATACCATCAGTGGCAATGCCACCCAGTCACGTGATACCATCAGTGGCAATGCCACCCAGCCACGCGTCACCATCAGTGGCAATGCCACCCAGCCACGTGTCACCATCAGTGGCAATGCCACCCAGCCACGCGTCACCATCAGTGGCAATGCCACCCAGCCACGTGTCACAATCAGTGGCAATGCCACCCACCCACGTGTCACCATCAATGGCAATGCCACCCAGCCACGTGTCACAATCAGTGGCAATGCCACCCAGCCACGTGTCACCATCAGTGGCAATGCCACCCAGTCACGTGTCACCATCAGTGGCAATGCCACCCACCCACGTGTCACCATCAGTGGCAATGTCACCAAGCCCACGTGCCATAATCAGTGGCAATGCCACCCACCCACGTGTCATCATCAGTGGCAATGCCACCCACCACGTGCCACCAATCAGTGGCATTGCCACCCAGCCACGTGTCACCATCAGTGGCAATGCCACCCACCCACGTGTCACCATCAGTGGCAATGCCACCCACCACGTGCCACCAATCAGTGGCAATGCCACCCAGCCACGTGTCACCATCAGTGGCAATGTCACCCAGCCACGTGTCACAATCAGTGGCAATGCCACCCAGCCACGTGCCACTATCAGTGGCAATGCCACCCACCCACGTGTCACCATCAGTGGCAATGCCACCCACCACGTGCCACCAATCAGTGGCATTGCCACCCAGCCACGTGCCACCATCAGTGGCAATGCCACCCAGCCACGTGCCACCATCAGTGGCATTGCCACCCAGCCACCAATCAGTGGCATTGCCACCCAGCCACGTGCCACCATCAGTGGCATTGCCACCCAGCCACGTGTCACCATCAGTGGCATTGCCACCCAGCCACCAATCAGTGGCATTGCCACCCAGCCACGTGCCACCATCAGTGGCAATGCCACCCAGCCACGTGCCACCATCAGTGGCAATGCCACCCACCCACGTGCCACAATCAGTGGCAATGCCACCCACCCACGTGCCACAATCAGTGGCAATGCCACCCACCCACGTGTCACTATCAGTGGCAATGCCACCCAGCCACGTGTCACCATCAGTGGCAATGCCACCCACCCACGTGTCACCATCAATGGCAATGCCACCCACCCACGTGTCACTATCAGTGGCAATGCCACCCAGCCACGTGTCACTATCAGTGGCAATGCCACCCACCCACGTGTCACCATCAGTGGCAATGCCACCCAGCCACGTGTCACCATCAGTGGCAATGCCACCCAGCCACGTGTCACAATCAGTGTGCAATGCCACCCACCCACGTGTCACCATCAGTGGCAATGCCACCCAGCCACGTGTCACAATCAGTGGCAATGCCACCCAGCCACGTGTCACAACCAGTGGCAATGCCACCCAGTCACGTGTCACAATCAGTGGCAATACCACCCACCCACGTGTCACCATCAGTGGCAATGCCACCCAGCCACGTGTCA